TCTGAATTTTCAAAATGCTAAGGTTCAGCCAATTTTCAGTTTAAGAAAAAACCAGCTGATAAGTTTTGGAGGATTGAGTCATGAACAATAAAACTTATTAGTTAAATTTTTAAAATGATATAATTTTTTTTTGTTTTAGTATTTTGAAGTTGACCAATTGTTACTATAAGTAAATATATGGGGGACAACTGAATGTTACACATATATTAATCAATTTCAAAACTGTCGCCCAGGGACAATGATTTTCTGCATAGCGCAGAACGCTGCAGAAATCACGGAATGTGTGTTTAAACATGGAAAATACTATAATGTACTGCAGAATACCATAATATAAAAATGTAATTTAATAAGTATAACATGATAATCAAAAAATTATTTTTTATGATGAATAATAGAAGGAGAGGTACAAGAAAAACAATTACAATCAATACTAGAGTAAAAGAAAATCCTGGTGAATTTCGCATTGACAATGGAATTTTATTTTGTAATTTTTGTGACCATTCTGTTGATTGGATACAAAAGTCAACGGTTGATGACCACCTTAATAGTAAAACACATAAAGCTAAGAAAAACCTGTATGAAAATAAACAATGTCAACTTCAACAAACACTTGTTACCTCTCTTTCTTCTTCTGAGTCTAAAAAAATTATAATTCACGATTTAATTGAAGCCTTTGCTATAGAGATATCCCTTTAGAAAAAGTTGATTCGTTACTTAATTTTTTTAGAAAACATTGTAAAGAAGGTGGTGCTATCCCACAAGCAGCAACATTACATCAACTGTATGTGCCTTGCATTTTTCTACACATTTGGAAAATCTCAAAACTCTTTTTTGTCAAAAATCTGTTGCTATAATCATGGATGGAAACTACAGATGCTTGTCAAAGAAGTGTAGTTAACACTCTTTTTGCATATCACAACAATACAAAATTAGTTTCTGTAGACTTTCTTGCACGTGTAAATAATGTAACTATGGGCCAAACACTTATTAACATTCTTCCAAAATATGATATTCCAATTACTTCTCATCTTTTTCTTACAGATTCAGCTGCATATATGAAAAAGTGTTATTGTGAAGTTTTACATCCTATAATGCCACAATTAATTCATATTCCATGCTGTGCACACATTTTAAATTTGATTGGGTAAGATTAAGATAACTTTATTATTATATACTGTCTGTATACAAGTTATTAAAATATAATAAATTAATTTTTATTTAGTGATACTTGGCGTGTGTTTAATCATTTTTCAGTAATTAAAACATTATTAGAAAAAGTCAAAGAAAAATTCACTAGAAGTCCAGCACGTCGTCGTCGGTATATGGATCATTTACAGTTTCATAGAGTTAATCAACCACAAAAAATTCCTCTTCCTTGCAAAACAAGATGGAATTCTTGGTTTCAAATGGTTAATTATACAAAGGATCATCTTATATATTGGCCTGGATTTTTTCAAGCTGAGGTTGAACTTGATGAAACTGAAACATTAAAAACTATTATATCCCTCCTTTCACAACAATTTGGACTCATTACAATCTATATCAATTTTATTTCTATTTTTTCTAAGGATACCGGCTGCAACTTTTGATGATGGTTGCTACCATCTTTGTGTCATATAAAAATGATTGCAACCACCTTTACAACCATTTTGTTTCCTTTTTTGGATTGCAACATGGAACACTATAATGAAATTACCAAGTTGAGAAGTTAAAACCAGTTGCAATGATGATTAATGTCATGAGCAATGCAAATATTATTATAAAACACTTAGGTTGACATTTCTTTCCTTCACAACAGAAATATCCATTCACACTGTCTGTGCCAGAAGAAAAAAATACCTCAATCATTATTGACATTGATCATAGTTTAATTTTTTGCAAGAATCCACCAAGGAGGAGATTGATTCATGTGAGAATATTTTTTTATCCTTTATATTATTTGAGTTGTTGAGAATCTTCAATGGTGGGATTATTATTTAGTGTCAAGTTGCTCCTTCTGAATTTTTTTACAGAAAAATTTACTTTTCATGGAAAGGATCTCTAGGAATTTGTAGCTACACTCACTAGACAAAAGTCAGCGCATTTTTAAACAAAGATTGTGCAAAAATGCACACAATAAAAACACAAATAAATTATATCATTTTGTAGCCTAGATTCTCAAAATTTTGCATGCAAAATTTAAAACTTCTATTGTGCCTAAGAAAATAACAGTAAAAAAAAATAAAAAATCTGGCCAAAAATTTTTTCCAAAAATTTTTCTGACAAAAAAATTTAATTGAACAAAATTGTATTTAATAACCAAGCTTGAATTTTTGGCATGTGATAACAGACATCTTGAATAAGTATCTATGTTGTTTTGAATTTTTTTGTAAACAAACATCATTTTTAATAAATTTTTGAACAATTCCTTTGAAAAATTTTAAACTCAAAATGTCACCCTTAAGTGAAAGTCAACATAGTGAAATCATCAGTATATATAAAAATAATATACCAAACCACAAAATAACTAAAATTGTTGGTATTCATAGGAAAACAGTGACTCATGTTATTCAAAATTACATTGATAGAAAAGATCTCATTACAAAAAATCAAAGTGGCTGTCCTAAATTAACAAATGATGACCTAATTAAATTGATTGAGAGTATGCCAAGGAGAGTTGAAGCAGTCATTGAAAATAATGGATGGCCTACAAGATATTAATATTATTATTTACTTTGTTTATCGAATTTTAAATTTTTTGGTATGATTATTATGTGCATTTTCAACAATGTTCTTTGAAGAAGAAAAAAAATAGCCAATTTTGGTGATCCTGTTTTGTCAAACAAATTTGGTCAAAATTTTCTTTTTTTAATCATTGGTTTAATAAAAACATTAAAGATGTGAAAATTTGCATATATAATTCAGTGAACCTAAGTTGCAAAATAATGTTTTTTATTAATTATTATTAAGTATGATTTTGTGTAATTTTTGTTAAAAATGCACCTGACTTTTGTCTAGTGAGTGTATAAATAAAAGAAAGATAAATAAATAAATAAAATAATGAATGAATAAATAAAATAAAACAAATCAACTTCAACAACTCAAATGATATAAAGGATAAAAAAATATTCTCACATAATCAATCTCCTCCTTGGTGGATTCTTGCAAAAAATTAAACTATGATCAATGTCAATAATGATTGAGGTATTTTTTTCTTCCGGCACAGACAGTGTGAATGGATATTTCTGTTGTGAAGGAAAGAAATGTCAACCTAAGTGTTTTATATAATATTTGCATTGCTCATGACATTAATCATCATTGCAACTGGTTTTAACTTCTCAACTTGGTAATTTCATTACTCACTTATGATTAAGTATCATAGCAGTTTTTTTAATGCAAATATTGATTGTTTAATAAAATTTAATAAAAATAGTCAGTAAACAATAATAATAAATAAATAAAAGACATTAAAAAAACCATACTTTACAACTAGACAACCCATAAATGACAGTTTCCTTTTAACAAACAGAAAAAAGCAAAATAATGTATTATATATAGTATTATGAGTTAGTCTTATTGTTTAATAAAAATGGGAAAGAAAAAAAGATGTGAACACAAAACAAAATTTTAATTGGTATGTATAAAATTAAAAATAGAAATAACCACAGCCGATCAGAGATCACAAAAAAACAAATACAGTCAGACCTCCATAAGTGCACCCTCCATAAATGCACACCCTCCATACTCTGCACTGCATGGTAACAGGAGAGACCGTCCTATATAAGGAATGGATTTTCACAATTGATTTCAATTTTTTTTATACAGTTTAAAATACTT